CTCTCTCTCTCTCTCTCTCTCTCTCTCTCTCTCTCTCTCTCTCTCTCTCTCTCTCTACAAAAGTTCTAACACATGAGTTGTGTTGGTCAGGTGCATGACTAACTCAGGTACAAGAAGGCCAAACACCCGTAATGCTCATACACATGACATGCTCTGGTCATGCAAATGATTAGCTTAGCTTCCTTTTTTCATTCCTCCTTGCTTGTATTGGCTTGTTGCTTTCATTCCCTTTTTGCTCCCCTTTTAGCCACTTTTCATCAATTCTTTGTTCTACAAACAATAAATTCAAGGTGTGAGGGAAATCATGCCAAAATACATCAAAATGCATACAATTAAACTCAATTTGGCCTAGAATTCAAAGCACTACAAGCCTATAAAATACACTTATCAAACTCCCCCAAACTTGAAATTTTGCTTGTCCTCAAGCAATGACTCATTTTCAAAACAACAATAGATACAAGGAAATGCTCTATGGCATCTCAATCAATTCAAAGCGTGAATATTAATGGAATAATTTTATCTCATTAAGAATGATTAAGAACAAGGCATATACAAAACCAAATGAACAAACTCACTATTCAAGGCTTGTGCAAAAATCATTGTGAACAAGTGAAAGGCCCCAACACACCTCAGTATTGCTACTCACTTAACCATGGAATTATCAACTAAATGTGATCCATCCAAGCACTAATTTGTCTTCAATTCACGACTCCTTTTTTCTACATAACTAGACATAATAAGCTAGTCGGCATAATCTAGGTCCTTTATTCTTGTTCTCTTCTCTCTCTCTCTCTCTCTCTCTCTCTCTCTCTCTCTTTCTTTCTTTTTTGTACATTTTGATAATTTTCATTTCATATTGTGGGGCTTGGTTTCCTTATAGCGTAATTGGCCTTTTCACGCGGAAGTTGATATTGATGATACCAACCCCTGGTTACTCAACCACTTACACTTTTAAGGTGCTTTGCATACTTGTAATTTTGGTCATGACTGACGCAGAGGTTAATATTTGTGATACCGAATCCCCGGGTAATTCACTTCCAAAAATAGAGGAGTAGTTTATTCATTTCCCCTTTTTATTTTTTTTAAATTATTTTTTAATAAAATTTTTGGGACCTACATTTTACCATTCTAACATATTATAGACAAACAATGATTGTTAAGGACTCAAAATCTCATAAATCCATGATTGGGGAAAGCATTTAATATCTAATCATAAATCACCAATGGTGCCATGAACAATTTGAAAATTCAATTTCTTTTTTTCTAAACCAAAACAAAAGTAGCAAATCAATCATTTAATTTTGTGCATGCTATGTACTTAAACATTCCTTAGCTATCACATTATTTCACAAATATTCATGCACAAAATACCAAGAAAGCCAAGATGTATTCCAAGTAAATTTTAAAGCGCAAAGCAAAGATAGTCAAATCATGCATCAAGAAAATTTTCATAAAGTCCTCCCCCCACACTTAGAACCAACATTGTTCTCATGTTAAGGCAAACAAAATGAGAGGGAATGAACCAAGGGCTTGTTCAGTAAGCCAAAACAAGGCTGTTTTCCATTTCCCATCTCTTAGAAAATGGAAAATGGCTGGAAAACTGGTTTGGTGGTGGAGATAGAATAAAAATTGGAAAATGGGGATGAAAGTTGTTCTCCCCCTTCCCTGGAGATTGTGGAAAACACACTAAATATTCAAATTTAAAATAGGTCACCATTCAAATCCCACTACTCTCATTTTTTTTTCTTTTTTTTCTCCTTTTTTGCTATTATCTTTTTCACCTTTACTCTTCTCTTCTTCTACCCTGTAGACACCCATTTTTAACCCATATCCTTAAATTAGAATAAATTGTCTCTTAATTTTCATTAGGGTCATTCAGGGGCATTTAGATCATTTTTAGTTCCACTTTTAGTTTAGGTTAACTATTTCATATTTAGGCTTAGATGAGCTAATCCATTTTTAGTCATCTAGATTGCGTTTGAAAAAACCCAAAAATATCTTAATGTGCATTTTGGCATTTTTTTGCATATTTCATATTTCCACTAGAAATTTAGTATTTTACATTTCATTCATGTAGCTCAAAAGTAATTTCATTCATGTAGCTCAAATCTAATTTAGTTAACTAATTGGACAGTGCATAAATATGATTGCATTTCCAGTAGGTAATTTTGGCAATGACATTTTTTTGGATAATTGGTTTTGTATTATCCTTGAAGAAGCATCAAGAGCTTACAACATACAAAATCTGGTTTTGAAAATGGAAAAACAAGTTACAAGGGAAATTCCTAAATAAAGGAAGCTAGTTACAAAAACTAGGAATAACAATATTCCAACTAGCACATAAGCGCCTATTGATAAAGTCATCACCTACTCTAGTGAGACCATGAAGTTTAAATCTGATGGCATCCTGGATGTGGCCAAAAATAACATCTTCAGAACTTGGTGACTTACCATAGAGTCGAGCATTTCTTTCCAACCAAATATAGTAACAGAAAGATGTCCAAGCAAGTTTCAAAATAGTAGTAAGGAGGGATTTGCCTTTAAAGCCCTGCATTGCCCAATTATATTCAGCAAACCAGTCACCAGCTTGCCTAGAGAATCCACAAGTGTACAGAACCTGCTACCAAACGGTCCTAGAGTAGGGACAGGTAAAGAAAAGATGGTTTCTGTTTTCAGCTTGTTGGCCACAAAACAGGCAAGTTGTTGAGTTTAACTCCACACCCCATTGTGCAAGTCTTTCCCTTGTAGGTAAACGATTTAAGATCACCAACCAAGAAATAAATGAGCACTTCGGAATGTGAAATTGAAACTAGACTAACTTTTTCCATTCAACTTTGTTCTGTCTATGCTTCAAACTATCATAAACCATTATCTTATACTTACCACCCGGGAAATGCCACTCGCCATTATCTTGCAGTGTATTCACCAAGATTCTCAAACTAAGAAGCTTCTTAAAAGCCCAACTATATCTTGGCAGAGAGGGGATAAACATGATGTCCCTACCTTTCAAGATATAAGCAGAGACCCAAGAGATCCAAACAGAACCTGAATGAGCAAAAAACAACCAAAGATTCCTGATAATACAAGCTTTGTTCCAAAGTGAAAGATCCTTGAAGCCAAGACCACCTTCAGATTTTGGGAGGTAAATGGACTCCCAGCTAACCTTGGCTCCTCGACTACTTCCCTCCTTACCTTTCCATAAGTAACTAGCACAGATCTGGCTAATTTTATCAATCACTGCCTGGGGAAGAATAAAATTCAAGCACCAATAGTTTTGCATGCTAAAAAGGATAGATTGAAAAAGTTGACACCTACCAGCATAAGAAACATTTCTAGCTGCCCAAGATTGAACTCTTTGAGTAATCCTTTCGACCAAAGGCATACAATCTCTTACATTCAAGCTTTTGGTTACCAAGGGAACACCCAAGTATCTCACAAGTAATTGCCCCACTCTAAACACTGTTGCAACTTGTATTTCCTCCATACTTTCGTCGGATATACCAGAATAAAAGATCTCACTTTTCGAACAATTCATGGAAAGGCTAGAAAACTGATAAAACAATTCAAGCAAGTTCTTGATGCCCAAAATAGATAGAATGTTACCCTTGGTGAAGATAAGTAGATCATCAACAAAACTCAAATGGGTTAAGTCAATCTTCTTACATTTGGGGTGGAAACTAAAAACACCATGAGCTACTCAATGATCCAGAAGTTTTGATAAAATATTCATAGCCAATACAAAAATATGGGGGGAGAGAGGATCACCTTGCCTCACACCCCTTGCACCAGAGAAATAACCCTCCAAACCCCCATTAACAGAGACTGAGAACTTAGGATAAGTTATACAGGCAGAAATCCACTTTATAAAAAGATCAGGGAACTTAAGAGCCTTGAAAATATTCAGAATAAAATCCCAGTCAAGAGTATCAAAAGCTTTCTTGAGATCTATCTTAAGGGCACACCTAGGAGACATATTAGGCCTATGATACCCACATACAAGTTCCTGAGCCATAAAAAGATTATCAATGATACTTCTTCCCTTAATGAAAGCACTTTGATTCTTTGTAATCAAACTAGGTAGGCACTGCTTTAGCCTATTAGCAAGGATTTTAGCTATGCATTTGTAGATCATAGAACAACAAGCAATAGGCCTAAAATCAAGCATACTACTAGAGTTTTGAACTTTAGGAACAAGAGAATGAACAGTAGAATTAAATGCTGGCAAAAGTCTAGCAGTACTGAAAAAATAATGAATGGCATCAATTACATCCTTACCCACAATATGCCAAGCTTCCTTGAAAAATGAGCAGAATAGCCATCTGGTCCAGGGGCCTTGTGACTATTGAGGCTAAAGAAAGTGGTTTTAATTTCTTGGGCAGTCACTGGTTCAATAATCTTCTTAGCCATCTCTTCTGATAGACTATTTTGTAAAATATCCTGCAAAATATCAACTGAACAGCCAGAAATATTAAAATCTTTCTTCCCCAGGAAACTTTTGTAATAGTTCACTGCCTCATCTCGAATGGCCTCGTAAGTATCCAGTCTGTCACCATTCTCACTGTATAAGAGCTTTATAGTGTTCCTATTGTGCCTAATCTTCATAGTTTTATGAAAAAAACCAGTATTCAAATCACCTTCCTGAAGCCATAATATTCTGGATTTTTGTCTATAGTAGCTTTCCACTGCTTTTTGCAACTCATGAAAATCATTAACTGCAGCTTTATGCCTTTGAACTAAATTAGTGTCAGGGGAGGTAAGCAGGTTCCTTTGTAATACAACAATTTCAGCCTTTTTCTCAACAACTTTTTGAGGCAGGTTACCAAAGTGTTCTCTATTAAAATTCGTCAGATGGGGTTTTAGGTTCTTAAGCTTATTAAAAAGCCTAGACATAGGATTTCCGAAAACAGGCTCTTGCCAAACTCTATTCACCAAGGGCAAAAAATCATCATGTTTTGTCCAAAAATTGAAGAACTTAAAGGGTTTAGGAGGGGAGAATATCTTCACATCAGTTATAATATTCATGAGGCAGTGATCAGAAATCTCTGGCAGTAAAAACTCAACCATTGAATTACCAAAATGAAGCAGCCAATCAGAATTTATGAGAACTCTATCTAACTTCCGTGCAAGAGGATGCTCATCAATATTCTTACTCCAAGTGAATAGAGGACCAGTAAAAGAATGATCAAAAACAGCAATATCATTCAAACATTCATTAAATTCAGCAATATCTGATGCATTACCTGAAAAATCAGAACTTTCATCAAGCTTGCAAAAACAGTTGAAGTTACCGGCAAGAATCCATGAGGAGCTATCAATGTCTTGAGCCAAATTTCTAAGCTGCATCCAGAGCCTTCTCCTAGAAATACCTCTGTTATCACAGTAAGCAGCAGTGAGATAGAAAACCTTCTGATAAAGAGTAACTTTCATAGTAATATGTTGTTCAGAAGTATCAACATGATTTAAAGGAATATCAGATTTCCATAAAATCCATATACAGCCATTAATGGCATGACTATAGTTGTTTAAACTCTGCCAGCCCATAAAATGCTTCTTCAAGATCCTATCAAAATTAGGGGATTTAACCCTCGTCTCTAGGAAACAAGCAATATCTACATTTAGAGACCTTATTCTTTTAGCTACCTGAACTTGTTTGGATGGGTCATTAAGACCTCTCATGTTCCAAACAACTGTATTCATCAAGAAGATGGCTGATAAAAGAAAAGTAGAAAAAATGGAAAATTGCATTTTGGGAAGACATTTTCATTTTTGCACGTTGGACTAATCCCTTTAGCTAGGTATTAAGGCAATTTAGAGCTAAGGCAAATAATTGAAGCATTTTAAAAGCATTTTAGAATTAAGGCAATTGCATTACATTTTCCCTTAATTTCATGCATATCATCACACTTTGACATTTGCAAAAATGAGAAAAGGGTAATGAGTAAGGATTGAATAGTTCATTATTTGCTACATTGAAAAAGGAAAAAGAAGAGAAAGAAATATTCAAATTTACAAATTAACTCATGACAATTCTCTTCTTTTTCATTGTTATTTTTGCATCACCAAAGCAGTTTATGTAAGTTTTTCTTGAAAACAAAGCCAAAAAAGCATGAGTTAAACAACAAAGCAAGTACACAACTTGTGTAACACAAGTGAAATCTCAACAGTGCAGTCCGAGGAAAGTGCAAAATCGATTACCTTAGGGAGCTCAAACGGAAAAACTTTGTTAACGAAAATCGTAGAGGACTCTTGCGGCTTCAATTTGGGCACAATAATGACATGATTTGGATTTAGGATAAGGGACATATGGGCCCCGCAATACAACCCTCCAAATCTGCAACGAAACTGGACAGCCATGGTAGCATGGGGAAAAGCTTCAAATTAGCCCCCAAAATGATTCCAATTGCCAAAGTGGTCTTCATGATGGTTGAAGAGCATTTCCCAAGCTTTCTCCAGCCTGCAAGAACACAACAATCGGAGTTGAATTGAAAAAGTTATGAATTTAAAAAGACAACAGCAAATAAGGACATTTTTGCAGCAAGCATTTCAATGGACAAGGCTTAATCCCATACTCACCAATGGTCATTCCAACAGCCAAATTGGAGCACAAACAGCAAGGCTCATCTCCGAGATGCAGAGTGGCCAAAAGGAAGCAATAAACACAACCACAAAGCAAACAGAATACATAACATAACCATGGCAGTATAGTTAGGATCATAGGCATTTTATCACTGCATTTTTAGCAAACATTTCACAACCTTTATCATAGCAGCAAGTTTAGTTTTAAATATCATCATGAACTTATAATTTATTGCATACATTATTTAGTAACATTGCATGGTATTCCAACACATTAGCCAGCACATGTTCTTGCATTCTCAACTAGCTCAGCATGCATTCGTATTCAGGGGCGGATCCAGGATTTTTGCTTAGTGGGGGCAAAAAGTTTATTAAGTACTATTTGTTTTTACTTTTTATAACTTAATTTTAGAAAAAAAAAAATTGAGTGAGAATTTTTAGAAAAATTTATAAGTCAAAATAAGACAATTTAAAGCAAAGAAACCATCAATTTATCTTGTAATTTTATATAATCACCTTAACCAACCACTTGTTGGTGTGTATATATGGGTTTTAAAACATTACATATCAATTCTCTTAATACTAAAAATATGTTACATATATATCAAATAATAATTAAAATTTTTGACATGCTATCAAATTGATTCACATATATATGCTTTTTCTAAAAAAATGTATTCAATATTCATGCTATTTTTTCTTAATTTTGTTAATGCATCCAAATACTTATCTAATGAGAAAAGAAATTTATTAGAAAAAGAGAATGAAACATGAGAAAAAATATTTCAGATCAGCTAAAAACACACACCCATATGCCCAAACAAATCTACAAAATAAAGCTGTACATATGATAGGTCCTAGGGGATAGAGTGGTAAAGAATTAATTTAGTAAAAAAAAGACCAAAAGAAATTGGAATTATCCCTTATATAAATAGCTAAAGAGCAAATGTCAGTGGGGGCAAAACATTTTATTCCACTTAAACTTAACTTTTTTAACAGTATATAGATTGACCACTAGATCCCAGTGGGGGCAGCTGCCCCTACCGTGTATCTGCCATTGTTCGTATTTAGCATATATATTTTTTTTCCTTAAAGCATAAGCTTTTATCATCAAACATACAAGACATCTATCAACAGAATTTGCAGATGAAAAGGAAACAAATGAGGGAGTGACAAGAGTCAACACAAGGGTCCTTACCGAGGTGGCAGCTTTGATTGGTTCCAAAGTAGCCTTCCCTTTGTCCATGTCAGCAACACCATGACATGTGAGAAAAGAGATGGAATTGAAGAATGTCATTGCTAAACCGTTGGGCCAGCTTATCATCAAAAGAGCACTTGCACACACAAATTAATTACACGTGAGAAGCTTAAAAAAGAAAACGAGAAAGAGACAAAATTAGGGGCTAAACAAAAATTCCCAAAATGTGAAGAAGGCAAAATATAAAGGATTAGAGCAGCAATAGCTCAGCTGAAGAGATGACTCAGCACACCAAAACCACTTGAATGGCTAGGAGACAAACCAGAAAACCCACAGGGATTCAAAACCGGAAATTCAAAATGCAAAGGCAAGGACGATGACTCCCCAGGTAGCCAGCTCATCCCGCTCCAACCTTATCCTTTCTTCCACCTCCCCTGCAAATGGACAAAGGAGCAAAATTACCTGAACTGGTAAAGTTAAAAATCTCGTTGAAATTGAAAAAAGGATAAGCCGTTGGATAAGCAAAAGGAAGGGAGGTCCAACCTTCATCTTGGAGGATTCAGAAGTCTATATAAAGACCTCATTCCTCCCCCAAACTGGAATGGATCACCTTGAGGGAAGAGAGAATTGCAACAACTTTGAAACATAGGGTTTGTTTCTTCAAAAAAATTTGGGGTTTTTGATTGTAAAGAGCTTGTTTCGAAAATTAATACAATGGGGAGTTAAGAAAGGAGAAGAAAAAGAGAGTGTGCAAGCTGGAGTGTAACATGACTGGTAGTTTTTCAGATCACAAAACTTTCCTTTGCTTTCGAGTCTTGAAGAAGGTTAGATCTGGGTTCAAGGTGACAAACCGAAGCTAGAGGGTGAAGTTTCGAGGTTGCCTACGGTGGGATTTTGCTCCGGCACGGCGGAAAGGATTTCCGGTGCTTGAAGTTTCAGACGGAAGAGGCATTTGAAGAAGAAGACAAGTTGAGCTTTTTATATTCCGTACACTCCAAATACGGTGCCATTTTGGCTTAAACGGGGAAAACTCAACAATTTCAGGTATGACACCTAACTCCTCCTTAATTTAGTCATTAATTTGATGCATTTAAGGCCGGTAACTTAGCATTTCCAACTAGGTCCCCAGTTGAGAAAAAGGTGCAATAGGGTTCCTCCAGTTTAGTTTCTTTGTCAAATTAGTTTCTGATTTCAAAAAAAAATTAATTCAATTTTACCCTCAATTCAAAGTTTTGTTAACAAATTACTAAATTATTTCACTAATCATGTGAAAAGAAAAGAATCAACAAATATATGAGAAATATCCTACATTCATGCACATGCATTTTAAATTTCTTTAAATGTTGTTTATGCCATGCTCATATGAGAAAAATAAAATGACTCCGAGGATGAAATAATCGGTTGGAATGTAGTTGCCTTCGTCTGTTTCAATCAGAGTTTTCTAGGCTTGGAACATCAAAATGGGGGTCTTACCAATCAAGTGGAAGGTACCCAAATAGTGTTTCTCATATAATCACATGGTAAAGATCTCTTAACCGGAATACATGCACCATATGCATCCATACATCAGTCAAGAACCTAATTCAGAGTAATTAAGTTAAAAGAGTAGATAATAGTAATTAGTAGATTAGTTTAATTCAGAGTAATTAAGCTAAAAGAGTAAAAGGAGGAGTAATTAGTAGATTAGTTTAATTCAGAGTAATTAAGCTAAAAAGTAAAGGAAAGAGAAATCAGTAACTAGTTAATTCAGAGTAATTAAGCTAAAAAGTAAAGGAAAAGAGTAATCAGTAGATAAGTTTAATTCAGAATAATTAAACTAAAAGAGTAAAAGAAAGAGTAATCAGTAGATAGTTTAATTCAGAGTAATTAAGCTAAAAAGGTAATGAAAGAGTAAGCAGTGATTAGTTTAATTCAGAGTAATTAAGCTAAAGAAGTAAAGAAAGAGTAACATTAGATAGTTTAATTCAAGAGTAATTAAGCTAAGAAGTAAAGAAAGAGTAAGCAGTAATTAGTTTAATTCAAGAGTAATTAAGCTAAGAAGTAAAGGAAGAGTAAGCAGTAGATAGTTTAATTCAGAGTAATTAAGCTAAAAAGTAAAAGAAAGAGTAATCAGTAAATTAGTTTAATTCAAAAGTAATTAAACTTAAAAGAGTAACAGAAAGAGTAATTAGTAAATTAGTTTAATTCAGAGTAATTAAGCTGAAAAGAGTAAAAGAAAGAGTAATCAGTAATTAGTTTAATTCTGAGTAATTAAGCTAAAAAGTAAATGAAAGAGTAATCAGTAATTAAAAAGTAAAAAATGGTAATCCGCAATTAGCTTAATTCAGAGTAATTAAGTTAATCAAGAAGTAAAAGGAGTAATCAGTAGTAATTAGCTTAATTCAGAGTAATTAAGTTAATTAAGAAGTAAAAAGGTAATCAATAGTAAGACATTGGGTTAATTCAATCAGTGGTCAATAAAAATATTTTAATTGGGCATGAATAGACTTAAGTTTTAAGAGTAGTGGCAACCAATGATAGAAACCAACAGCTAGTTCTAGACTAGTCAGTGCTGTCTTTTGATAGGCGTCGTGGGGGTGCTAATCCTTCCCCATGCGTACCCGACTCTCGGACCATAGACTATGGTTATGTAAACCTTATTAGGTATAGTATTACCTTTGCCAAGCTCAGGATAATATTAGACCTAATAATCCGATAGGTGCCTAAACACACCTAAGTAAAAAAGATTAGTGGCGACTCCATAGAAAAAAGCAGTAAGGGGTAAGATCCCCCCAAGTCGCGGCGACCGGGTCCCCCGGACCCGCACGTTGCGACAGCTTGGCGACTCCGCTGGGGACAATTAAAGCGTCAAACTGAACACTGGTTTAGAACTAACTTGGGTTTCATAATTGGTTAATTATCTTTTCTTGTCTATTCATGTCTA